CATCTACTCCGGTCATTCCGCTCCCCCGAGTGGACTCACTAGAATAACTGCGTCAGATCAGGAGGAAGACTGTTCAAAAAAGAGTGAGTCGAAAGCCGAGTCTACAAATCCCGCACTTCCATTGGGTAACTAGTGAGGACTGACCCCGAAGCACTGTGGTCATTTCGGTGATTCCCGTAATTCCTCGCAAATGTGGTTCCAATCTGTGCTTCCTGCCTAAACTAACATGAAGATGGTCGTACATCAATTCTTCAGCGTGCGCAGAATGATGGGAAACAGGGAGCGGACCACAGCACGTCGATAGTATGCCCAGCAATCTTTCTATCTTCACGCCTATAGTGGCAATAACCTGTAAGCAGGCATGATTGTGCAAAAAAGTTACACTCGAAGACCTCCTGTAACGGAGTGTGTGTGACCTATTGTTCTTCGTTCTTTCTAATGGTCCTACAAGTAGACCTATTTCAGATGAATCACACCATTTTACTACCCACTTCTGATTAGTAATGCACGCCGATGGCCTCTGATGATTGATCCGACGAGTCAAGCGAACAGATGGGTGAAGAATATGGAGAAGAAGAACAATTTGCAAGTGATCAAATTCACGGACAGTGATTTTGTACGAACTCTGGAGAACTGTATACAATTTGGCACTCCAGTTTTGCTGGAGGGCGTTGGCGAGGAGCTGGATCCAATCCTGGAACCGTTGCTCTTGAAACAGACGTTCAAACAAGGTGGTGCGTTGTGCATCAAATTGGGTGATTCGGTGGTTGAATACTCGAATGAGTTTCGTTTCTATATGACTACAAAAGTAAGTTGTACGTGTTGCAATGAACACTAGTTGTGCCAGATGATTCTTGTAAGTAGTGTAATTCACACAGAAAGTTGGCGCTAGAATCCTAAGATTAAGATGGTTTAAGCTGTAACTTCGTCACCTATTTAGATTGCTTTGGTTCACTCAAACTTCACATGAACAAGAAAATAGATGAGGAGACTAGGCGGTAAAAAATGACCACAAATCTAGGCCTGAAGTTTGCTAGCTCACGAAAACAGCAAGGGCCATCTTAGATACCGGAAATTCAAGTATTCAGTACTAATCTTAACAACATATGTGTAACAGGGCAAACGTTTCGAGGGATGTATCACCTAATGACGTAATTCGAGGTCGTGTTTCGCAAGCGTGCTGCCCGGACAAATCCACATAGCTTCTCTACAGCTTTCTCAAGTGACTTCCCGGTATTATTTTTCACAGTGCCTTCTGCTGCGAGTAACATTAAACACATATTCCTCAAGAGGGTTCAGCCTTCGAGCTTTTACAGTAGGAATCTTAGCTTTCAACGATACGATTTATCCATCACATACGTTCGGCAGAATAGTAAACTCTACTCATCTTCAGTCTGGTGTCATTTCACCCCTTTCATTCACACCGAGTCGATTCGAGCGCCTATATCCGGCGCGTAGTTGTCTCTCCCATTCTCCATGGCCCCCCGCATGAATACAATACTCCCTTTAGATAGTTTCTCTACCATTTTTACTATTCCTCTGTGGTTTTCCACGGTTATTTTCCACTTACAGTTTTATTTAGCTCTCCAAATTGTTCAAAATCACTTAACAATTTCCAGGCCGTACTAAGTAGCATGTACAAAGTAACAGTATAACAGTTGAGCCTATTGGCTCGGTCCTTATAACACGGATATCTGTTCCAACTGACTAACGTTTAACAGTGCGCACTAAACCTTAGGTACTTATTGCGATAAAATTTTCTGTGCTTTACAGCTGAGAAATCCTCATTACCTACCCGAAACGGCTGTCAAAGTGACGCTCATGAATTTCATGATAACACAGGAAGGCTTACAAGATCAGCTGTTAGGCATTGTGGTTGCCCGAGAACGACCAGAGTTGGAAGACGAGAAGAACAAATTAATTCTTCAAGGGGCTGCGAATAAGAAGAAACTAAAGGAATTGGAGGATCAAATTCTCGGTGTGCTCTCTGCGTCCGAAGGCAATATTCTGGAAGATGAGAGTGCCATCAAAGTGCTAAATTCCTCCAAAGAATTATCCAATGAAATAGCCGAAAAGCAGGCCTACTTCGAGGAGACCGAACAGAAAATCGATGCAGCTCGATTAGGCTATGTACCTATTGCCGTGCATTCGACAATCCTATTCTTTTCCATAGCAGATTTGGCCAATATCGACCCGATGTATCAGTACTCGCTTACCTGGTTCATCAACCTTTTCATTATGGGTATCGATAATTCCGAGAAATCGGAGGACTTGGATCAACGCCTGGCAAATCTGCGAACGTACCTGACTTATTCCTTGTACTGCAATGTATGTCGCTCTCTGTTTGAAAAGGACAAACTGCTGTTCTCCTTTCTGCTCGCGGTCAATATGAGCAGGCATCGAGGAGAGTTGAATGAACAGGAATGGCGCTTTCTGCTAACTGGTGGTGTCGGATTGGACAATCCACACACGAACCCGGCTGAGTGGCTCCAGCCAAAGAGTTGGGATGAACTGTGCCGATTGGAAGAGGTGACCGTATTCGGCGGAATCCGTGATCATTTTAGAAAGAATTTGGCCGCCTGGAAGTTAATTTATGACAGCGGAACCCCTCACCGCGAACCCCTGCCCAAAGGACTGGAACATGTGAAAACTAAGCTACAGTTCATGTGTCTTTTGAGAATACTTAGACCCGATAAAATTGTTCCTGCAATTCAAGATTATGTTGTCGAAAATTTGGGCAAAACGTACATTGAGCCACCGCCTTTTGATCTGCCAGGATCGTTTGCTGACTCAGCTTGCACCGTTCCCTTGCTTTTTGTCCTGTCTCCCGGTGCTGACCCAATGGTTGCCTTGTTGAAATTCGCCGATGATATGGGATTCGGTGGGAACAAGTTCGAATCGTTATCTTTGGGACAAGGTCAGGGACCGATTGCCCTACGAATGATTGAGCGTGGTGTGAAGGAAGGCACATGGGTGCTACTTCAAAACTGTCATTTAGCCCCGAGCTGGATGGATATGCTTGAGAAGACAGTTGAAGATTTGAATCCGGACACAACACATCCAGATTTCCGTCTCTGGTTAACCAGCTATCCGAGCAAAGATTTTCCAGTTGCCATACTGCAAAACGGAGTGAAAATGACCAACGAACCTCCCAAAGGGTTGCGATTCAATCTGTGGCGTTCCTATCTGAGTGATCCCATCTCAGATCCGGAATTTTTCCAATCCTGTCCAAACGAACATGCATGGCGAAAATTGCTATTTGGTCTCGTGTTCTTCCATGCGATTGTTCAGGAACGGCGTAAATTTGGCCCACTTGGGTGGAATAGACCATATGAATTCAACGAAACAGATTTACGCATTTCCGTGCAGCAGCTATACATATTTTTGGAACAGTACAGAGTGAGTATACTTTTTCTCTGAAGCGCTAATTCTGTTCTCGCTTATTAAAATTTCACTGGTTTTATCCACACCAGCTGTTTTGAGCAGTGAATTTCTGTCGATCGATAATTAGCAATGATACATTTGGTTTGCATTACTTCTGTCTATCAAGACGTTCTCTCAATATCTTTTTGATACGAACGAGGCTGAGCACATGTAATATGTGAACCTCCATGTTTGTTTGCCCTTTAGGCTATGGTGATGCGGAAAGCCAGATCGTGTGGTGCGCAACAGCGGAGCACAAATGAACTAAACTAGGGTGCGGAGTCAACCACAAGAGGTTGCATGCGATTGGTTAGCAAACCGATCGATAAGAGCAAAATACAACCAAGGAATATCACCATCATTATTATTATCAACTGTAAGAACCGCATACCTGTTGTACAATTGTTGTGGCTGCCACAAGTTTGTCCATCCATGATTTAAGAAGGTAGGGTAGGTAGCTGCGCATTGGAGACGGGAGCTGATAAATTGGTGCATAAGTACAGGTCTGTCTTTCAACGACCAATCTATTTTCCGTTCCATAGGAGGTTCAATACGAAGCACTACGCTACCTGACCGGAGAGTGTAACTACGGTGGTCGTGTGACGGACGAGTGGGATCGTCGAACATTGAAGACTGTACTGCAGAAATTCTACTGTCCAGCTGCAGTGGATGAGAAAGAATATAAGCTTGATCCAAGTGGAACTTACCACATTCCAGAGGATATGCATGTGGGTTTATTCGTGATATACCAAAATACCATCCATGCATATGATAGCTCGGTGATTTTCGTTTGTTCTGCCTGTGATTTTGGTTTCTTCATCATTTTTAGCTGTAAACTCATTGTGTTTTACACTAACCATAGCTGCCGCAGTAAGCTGTACACTAAGTGCCTTTGAAAATGTCTTCGTTGGGTCGACATGATCTCCCTATACCACAGTTAATTAGAATATTGTTCACTCCCTACCATCCACAGTACGAGGGCTACATTGACTACATCAAGTCGCTGCCGCTCAACCCGGATCCTGGCGTCTTCGGGATGCACGAGAATGCAGACATCACAAAGGACCAACAGGAAACCAACCTCATGTTCTCCAGCATTCTTCTAACTCAGGTTAGTTTTTGAACAGCTTCGACGACAGCAGTTCGTTTGATTAGTGCCCACGTCTGGTTGACCTACACACACACACCGTCAGAAGCAAATTTTCACGTACACTGCAACTTATTTTGGGTTGGTGGCCGAAACACGTGAGCCCTGCAGGCGCTGGTAGGCTGTGAGGAGCGCAAAGAGAGAGAGAGAGAGAGAGAGAGAGAGAGAGCAGATGATAGCCACCACTTGGGTCTGTTTGAGACGATGAATTAGCTCTAATTCGATGTCCGCAGTCACTTCTGCCGATGTTCGTTTCAATTTGGTTAATCCGCCAGGAGCCATGTACCAAGGGTAAGCTGGTTCCAGCTGTCACAATTTCCGCCACTTGGACAGCCAAGCATTGGAGGCGATGGTTTTGATGCACGATCCCCCCTGACTACTTCATTGAGTCATGTCTAGCAGCGTTGGAGTTGAATCCCAGCTTTTTGATGGTTCTTTCTGAGGCCTGGACAGTATTGCTTAAGCGCTGAAGGGGTATCAAAGCGTAGGTGATCTGGTCATATATCGTCCACAGATGAGTTTATCTTGATTTACTTCTCACATGAAACAGACCAAAGGAAGCTCCACCACTGGCAAGTCCGTGGATGAGATCGTTGACGAGGTGGCTGCCGATGTCCTATCCAGACTCCCGGAGAATTTCGATACCGAGATGGTATTACGCAAATATCCGACACGGTACGAACAGAGCATGAACACAGTACTCGTACAGGAGATGGTGCGATTCAATGTGCTACTCAGTATCATCCGTTCCAGCCTGTCGGACATTCGACTAGCCATCAAGGGTCTGGTTGTCATGTCATCCGACTTGGAGGCGGTTGTTGAGGCGATGTTGGCCTCGCGTATCCCAGAAATGTGGATGTCCAAGTCCTATCCATCACTGAAACCACTCGGGTCATATATCAATGATTTTCTGGCGCGGCTGAAGTTTTTGCAGGTGAGTGGACCCTCAGCACAGTCATATGTGACAGTTCGTATGGTGAACATGAGCATCAAAAAGTGTGATTTTGCTCTCACACATTTGCTATTGAATTGCGTAGTTGTACAGTATGAACACCAACAATGACTTTTATCAAAGAGAGGCTACATTCTCACAAATCCGCAAAAGCGCTTTTCGTCAACCAGAATCTAGTGTGAAATTCCCATATGAGAAGCTGGTTACTGTACATAGAAAACACATGCATCGATCTCCCCACAATACAGAACACTTCTACTCTTCACCACAACTCAGTGTCTTGAAGTAAGCAGTGAGATGAATAGTCGTTTCTTAACAGAGCACCACACTACTGCTGGAAAAATTCAAAACCCACGGTCTGGTCCATCCTTCGTGGGGATCACCAGGTAGGCCTAGTCCCCGAGTTTTCATCAATCTTACCTTATACTTGGAAACAAACTGCATGCGATTCGCGAACCAGAGCCATTTAAAAACCAGTTTGCTTTCGACTGGCCACTCAATTGAACCCCAGCTAAATTTATCGTTTACGATGTCTGGAATATCGTACCAACTATGCAGCATAGTCATTTGAAGAATATCGTAAACGACAGCTTCAGCTGGGTCCCAGTTGAGTCTCCAGGTGACAACAGTCTAATTTTGCAAGCTAGTTCATGCAGCCGTCTGCTTTCAACCGTACCCTTTTTATCTATATATATCAAGGCGATATCGTAATCGGGCTTTTATCAATGACACCATCCACCAAATAGTTTTTTCTTGATTACCAGCTTCTACCTTAGATTAAAGTGGTTTCAGAATCTGATTCCCCATGCTATATTCGTCAGACTATCCTCTGTTCGATTCTCTGGGAACCGCATCCTTTGTAGATTTTATTCGTATTGATGGCAAACAAGTCTATATCCTTGGTTTGTTCGCTTCTAAAGTACTGGTCATTAAAATCGGATAGGTTGAACATGAACGCTCCAAGCAAACGACGTATGGTGGCAAATGCCTGCGTCGGTTTGTGAACTAAGTGGGCCAGGTCACGAGCAGCGTGGCGACCATCGATTCCTTGGCTCGCACCCCAAATATTACCAGGTGACCAATAAGGCACTCTGGTTTTCTATCAGCTGGAGAGAGCTTGATCCGGTGGAGATGTCATCGTCACAAGAAACCGGTGAACTTACTGCCTGTTGGTGTCTCGTTTTTGGCACGAAACGTCATCAGGCCGAGTGACTGACCAGGTTAATCGGATCTTGAGGAAATTTTATAGAGCACCAATCTCCGAAAGTTTTGTAAACGAGTGCACTGAATGGGGGATGAATGTCTGTTACGAGGTTCTGCTGGTTAGAGGGAAATTTGTGTCAGGTTTTCAGCCTGGTTCCTCAGTTTAAAGTCATATCCACTTGGTCCACTCCTCCGCACACATCATCACACGTCAGTTAGGCTGTCCTAAAACCCTCTACACGGACTGGACAATCTATATCCACAGTTCTAGGATTCTGGGCGACTTCCAACATCTCGACCACCAGTCGCTCTGCACTAAATCGTACTCACTTCCAAATCTATCCATATCTATCTTGAGTCACGTGTCCGTTGCATGTTTGCCTTAAAACTCGAGAAACCTGGCGACTTCTAGACTTCGTCTGACGGACCGTTTGTAGGGCGATATGGACCAAGTGGTTAGGGCGCGAATTTGATGACCGGAAGGTCCGTGGTTCGAGCCCGACCTCTGCCTCTCGACTTTCCCTGTCTAGGCTTGGGCAACCTGGCAGTATCTCAGCCCTCGTGCTTCCTTCAGGTTGCATGGCAGCTAGGCACCGAAAGGGTGCTACTGCTGAACGATTTTTCCGTTTGTATCCGAAGCGAAAACTGCCCAGCACTAATCCCAGCGATCTTTTGCCACACTTTTTGGAACGATGCGGGTTTTTCTTGTTTTGTTGTGTACTCAAATTCCTGACCTTTGTAGGGTAACAAAATTTTGGGCACTCCGAAGGGGTAGACTCTCTTTAAGGGCCCATGTGGGTGAGTTCAGAATAGTCCTTACCACATCCGTGAAAATGTAGCTGCTAGCTCACGTTCACATTCATCCTTACAGGACTGGTACGAAAATGGGGCGCCATCTGTGTTTTGGATGTCCGGATTTTTCTTCACTCAAGCTTTCCTTACTGGAGTTCAACAAAATTATGCAAGGAAACACACCATTCCAATCGATCTGTTATCATTCGAATTCGAAATACTGGACGATAGAAAGTATGATGTAGCTCCAGACGAAGGTCAGTTAGTTACAGCGTCTTTATTTGTGAGGGTTCCATGTTTTCCAAATCCAGTCGTATTCATAAAAAACTCTCAAAGGTGTACAATTCAGGAGCGTTCTTCTCTGCAAATCGTTATTCAGGCCGCATCTCTCATTTTGGGTAACGAATATAGTGATGTGTTCACCAGAAGATACTGAGTTGTCTCATCAACGGGACGTGTATCCGTTTAAGACGCACGCAGTCATGCAACATCTCCTACGTCTTCTGCTTCTGATCAACGAAAAAACCTAGTGTCTCTTGGTGCTTCCAACGATATAGACGACAGGGTGTAATGGAACGAATCATTTTAACCGTCGCACATGGAACTGGGACGTGGGCGAGTGCATCAGCGAGATGTGCCCCCATGTCGAGACTTGGTATCTTGGTCGTTCCAGCAATTTTCACACTGACCAGCCAGATTTGGAGATAAGAACGGATAGCCAAGATAGCTTTGTCGTGAAGATGGATTCTCCCATCACAACAAAATGGTTCTGGTTGTAGATGGTTACGGGATATGTGGAATTCACGTTCACATCGTTCTCGTGTAGCAGTCCTCTTCCTGCCCTGGCTTACTTATTCGGGTGGATTCACACCGCTTACAGCCAACTGGAAAAAAGGGGGGATTTGAAATCCCTAGCCGATCAAAGTTCAAAGACTCTCCCTAGCACATCTACACAAACGGACAAAAATGTGCAAACGACGTTCAAAAGGAATGGTCACGTGAACCGAACTTAAAGACCCAGACCGTAAGCTGAACCCAAATCCATGTAAGTTTCCATACCCGTCTCAGCACTTGGTGATCCACCCTAACACGAAATCCCTTGGCCGGCACCTAACACTTCTTGGCGCTCAGGGTCCAAGTAAGTATTTCGCAGTATCGCAGTATATTTTCATAGGCGAAATTATTCACAAGGTTGCTGAAGACTCTTTGACAGCTCACGACCGGTTTCGCCCTTCTTGGGGCTCATCAGATAGACGCAGTCCCCGAGTTTCCGTCAACCTTATGATCTACTTGAACCCAAATTGCACTGTTTTCGACAAATACACTCATTTTCAAAGCAATTTGGTTTTCACAAGGGACTCAACTGAATCTCTTGTTTATGATATTCACTTTCAGTTGTCGAATATCATAAACGAGAGATTCAGTTGAGTCTCTCATGAAAACCAAATAGGTTTGCAAATGAGTATATTTCAGGAAAACAGTCCAATTCGGGTTCAAGTAGAACATAAGGTTGACGGAAACTCGGAGACTTCACCTGATGGATGAGTCCCAAGAAGGGCGAAACCGATCATGGGCTGTCGAAGAGTTTTCAGCAACCTTGTGGGCAGTTTCGTTTATGAAAACGATACTTACTTGAACCTTGAGAGCCAAGCAGTTATCCTGTGTTACTCCATCTTATCGTCTCTCTCCAGTGAAATTATCACACATTACTTTTGTGTTGCCTGCTCAATAGTACTGGTCTACCGAATCAAGCTATGACCAGGAGAAACTTTGGCTTAACGAACAATAAGGGATTACTGTCAAAGATGTCAGCTATTTTGTGATAGACTGCTTATTAAGCCGGTGGATGAGTCCATATTTATGAACTAAGGAGTCTTTATTTTGGTTCTGAAGAATCGAGTTTTCTGACGAGTACTGTGAACTCATGAACGGAATACTTTATTGGGCGTTTAGGCCGCCGCCGCAGTTCAGGAAACAAAACGGAACTTACTCACGTGACTTGCACAGGCAACCACTTCGTTCCTACTACTCCGTCTGACGAAATTCGAGTTCTCTCCTTTGGTATTTCCATTAGCAACCGATCTGTTAGTAGTGCGATCAAAACATGAATCACCGCTCCGCTTGTGATCCCCATTGATCCAAATGGTGCGTTCATTCGTGTAACTTTGAGGTAGGTGGAGAAGACAATCGTTTGCAGATATGTTCCGGACAAGCCAATTATGAAATGGATATTTCTTCTCCTGCTCCAGTCATCTTGTAGTAACTCAATTTTGGCAGATTCATCGTACCAGGCATTCAATAACCCATGCTGCACATTCAGATATATCCACTGTCTTCGTTAGCATGACGTTACATACAAGCTCTGACATTAAGTATGACCCTTTTTGTATCAAGTGACTCGTCAGTGCAGACCCATCTGCAAGTTATCCAAGGCCCCGTTTTCCCAGTGTGTCGGAGGAGCGTATTCAAAGCAGCCTTGTGCACAGATGTTCCTCATCCACCGGCAACGTCGTGAATCTTCTGGACGCAGATTAATTTTTGATGTTCGATCAGAACAGCTCCTAGCGATACTCCACGATGATTGAGCATCATTAGTCTGAAATCGGTAAGGTCTAATTGTTCACATCCTCCCATGGATTCAGCATTATCTGATGCACTGGTTCTAATCGTGATGAGGGGAAATTGTGCTACGGAGTACCGCAGTTTTAGAAGTGTGTTATGCATCAAGTGGTAATCGCTTCCAAACTACCAAGCAGCGCGCTTGAAGCAACTGAATGCAAAGGAGCTTGCGTGTCCACGCTAGTTCTCAAAGGAGTACAACGGGACAACTCACAATATCGGTTTCTTTGGGTTCATCAGGTAGGCACAGTCCCCGGGTTTGTGTCAGCTGTACATAGTTCGTGAACTACTATCATTTGCAAACTAATTTGGTTTTTGACACAACACTCAAGTGCATCCCAGCTGAATCGCTCGTTTAAGCTAATCGTCAAATAGATATCCTGTACAAAGATTGACTCATGTTTCACTTGGTGCAACGTTCGAAATACCGCAGTATACTTTCTCGAAGAAAACACTACCCATACTAGAATATCTCGAATTTCATACCAACTGAAACGTGAAACGACCTTCTTGCAGCGCATTCAGATGAAGGTTACCACAAACGAGAGATCCCGCTGAGATTCAGTTGAGTTGCTCCTTGAAACCTTGGGCACTCAACCAATATATTTTCACTTACAGCCTAGGTTAACATTGAATAATCGATTGCCGGTGTTCCGTTGAATTAGAAAGCTGGGTCTTTTCAGCCCTGTTCCCATTCCAATTATCCTTTGGCGCTTCTTCTGAGTACCGGCCGCGTACTACTGTAGCCGAGGTCAAGGAAGTAGATATCATCTCAAAAACATCATATTGAGTCACCTTTATTCAGCTCTGTCCGAACAACAACCAGCGGGACTGATTGTGTCATTAGTTTGGTCCGAATCTTCGAAGAGTTTTCAGCAACCTTGTGAGTAATTTCCTTCATGAAAGTTACCCAGCTAGCTTTGCACAATTGACAGTGGAATGAATTTCGACCAGTTTGTTGCCTTTAGACTGGCGCATGGTCTAAATGAAGGCCTGTGGCAGCACATCCGCGGCGGAAACAGCTAAACTGACATTCACACATGATCACACGCAACCTCACTCTTAATGGTTATCACCACGCCATCTATGCGGTTTATTAAATGACGTGACTACTGTGTCGACGATTCTAGTGACCTCGTCATTGGGCATGAGGGCCAGTCTTTGATCCTAGTTTGTCTATGCGCAATATTCTGCACTAGGAAGCGTCCGTCTAGCCGGATCTTCGTGGTGCAGTGTCAGAGGCGTTAACGTCTTGCCACGTGCAATGAATGACAGAATTTTCCAGTGGCTGAATGTGGACGGATAAAAGATAAACATCCGATCACCATGGAAAACACTTGAAAGCGATCATCTCATTACTACTCGTACACAATCACTTCAGCACGAAAGCGATTTCTGGTTTTAGGCCTACTACCCTTTTTTCATAAAGGAAACTACTCACAAGTTTGCTGAAAACTCTTCGACATCCCAGGACCGGTTTCTCGAATATCGTGCCAACTGAATCATGAGGCGGCCCGTGTGCAGCACATTCAGTTGGAGGACATCATAAAAGAAAGATTCAACTGAGTCTCCCGTGAAAACCAAATTGATTTGCAAATGAGTGTATTTCTCCTACCCTTTCCTCTTTAAAATCTATATTCTCGGAACATCCACAACGACCGCACTATGACAGTGTTTCAGTCAATATCACGGTACCAGTGAAAGGAAGAAGGCCTGCTCTGCGGAGTTATCTATTAGAAAATACCAACTGAACAGTTACAGACTATTAGACATGGGAGCAGAATTCTCATATGCATCTTGTTTACAAAAACGGAATATCCATCTCCTCCTTGAACGCGTCTTCCTGAACTTTCCTGGATATTCATTGACTGCTCCTCAATTACAAGCAAATGCTACAGAGCGACTCCACAAATTCCGTAATAGATCTAACTTTTCAAGAGACGCAAAGTGGATTTACGAGAAAACATACTACTCGCATGTCACTCCCATCAGTAGTATCACCTTCACACTGTTATCTTCGGTAGTAGATCAGATGACTGTTGATCTGTTACCCAAGCTTGGCAGTTTGCTTGCAGATGCCTCGACATAATCATTACGCGGATGATTTTCCCACGATTAGTGACGAGGCGCATTAGATTCCAAGAGTAAATGCGACGTCCCTCGTAAACTCTGATGAGCATGTAGTGACAATAAATCGCGAATCTTCTCGCCACTAATATAATACAGTTCATCAGTCTTGTAGGATACGAAGCATGCAGCTGTGACAGACTTGACGTGTTACGGGGAACGTGACTAAACCATTTCGTTGAGCAGATTTTGCGGCCATCCGCGTTATTGACCGACTTCCTTCAGACGCTTGACAGTGCTTACGGTACAAAGCTGCCTGGAACGCGCAGGCGTGTGATGGCCTGTTGAATTTACTCGACTGCAAGTCGATGTTGAATGAGTCTGCTTGGCAGTCGTTGCAAGGCATCTAGCCACGATCATTGGTGTAGAACACGCAACCAACCAGAACACAGCTCTCCAGTGCCTGTTGCCGATTCGCCAGTCTCAGCTGACTTCTGTGGTTGGTAGATGTGTACAAGCGCATTCCGGTCACTCAGTGTAAAAAAAGAAAAACGCTTTGGTTACTAAAAACGAATGTGAGGGATTACACTGTACTTAGTTTCAGAGTACGTTACGAGTGAATCAGTAGGATCATTGATGCGAATGCCTTTGTTTTCTCGACAGGAGCCTTCGTGAGCGGACTTTTTGTTGACGGAGCTCGATGGGATCGAAAGACGAAAAAGCTTGCGGAATCATTGCCCAAAATTTTACAAGATCCAATGCCCCCGGTGAGTAGAGTGTTACGCAAGAGCGCGTGCTGTAAACGAAATTGTGTTCCTGACACGTAATAGAACATTCTTTCAATTCCTTGAGCTGGTATAAGTGCGAATCTCAGGTATGAGACTTTAAGTTTAGGCGACAAGTTTCTAAAATTCGTTCTCACGGCTCTGTCGAATGAAATTATTCTCCGTGCTGATTCAAAGAAATTGGCAATGAAGTCATCGGACGGACGTCCTAAAAAGCAATATTAACTCGCACGCGCCATCCACACAATGGCAGACTCAGGATGTGGGACACAGGCAGTCGACGGTGTTAGCTAGTGAATATCAAGCCAGCTATGTAACAGCTGCTGTGCTTAGGTGGGACGTAGCGCCAATTCTACCTGATGCACTAGAGACACTTGTTTCATGTCGCTCCATATTTTCCAGATCTGGCTAATCCCAATGAAGAAGAGCGATATCCAGCCCCGACCGTGTTACACAGCCCCGGTATATAAGACAAGCGAGCGGCGTGGTGTGCTGTCCACAACCGGCCACTCGACCAACTTCGTGTTGCCAATGCTACTTACCTCAGATCAACCGGAGAGTCACTGGATTATGCGTGGCGTCGCGTTGCTGTGCCAACTGGACGATTAGATGCACCATATTACAGGCCGTTCTTCGACAAACAAAGGTGATGGTTCTTCATCTTATCGGATTGGCGCTGATGAATGGCCTACTCTTTTTTGTAACATGTCATCAGATCCACTCAACTTAACGCGCCCAAAGTCATCACTGAAAAACAACCATATCCGACTTCTTGTCAAAGTAGAAACGACACCAAATGTTTTACCTAATCTTCTTGCTACCGCTAATAACTCCTACTGGCGTTGTTCTAGCAAACACCCTTTTCCTGAGAGAGAGAGAGGAAGGAAAATATAGCGATTCAATTTCACCAGCAAACGTATAGTTATTCTTGTCTGTCTGCCCCGGGAGAGAACAACGGGGAGGGTGGAAGGAGTTGCGAAACAATCCGAACTGTACAACTGTACACGCGCAAAATAGTGGCAGGGGTGTAACGCAAAACATGAGAATGCACAGGGTTCGATGCGTCTTGGTGCAAGCAAGAAGAACTGGCCAAAAAAGAAGTTAGAAAAGTCAAAAACATAGGTGTTGGTGAGATCCTCCATCACAGAGACAATTAGTTTCTAAGCCGTTACTTTAGACGCGTGGGCTGCACGTGGAAGCGCATCCAGGCCGTTGTAGATTTGGGCGGGCATAACTGGTAGACCAGAAGCTGCACCATCGGACGAAACAAATCCGACAAATTCCGGAAACACTCGGGAGATTTCTTCACGTTCCTGATTGCTTAGTTCACGGTTTTCAGGATATGCGACGTCAAATGTAACGTACAAAGATCCGCGAACACGCGGATTCTCGTAGTTGGGCATTCCTTCGCCGGGCTTATGGATGATGGTGCCAGGAGGCGTCACTTTGTCGCTTTTCAGGATCACCTACAATGGGAGTTGGGCAAGGGATAGGGGTTGGATGAAAGAAGCGCTGTACCCAGTGGCTGAATAGAAAGGGTGGAATTATGACTGGTCATCGGTGTCATGGTAGCGATTCAGCAATAGTGTACACCACATTTTCCGGAGGGTTTGGACAGAATACCGGCCAACATTCAGCCACAGTGAGAGTTCGACGTACAGCTATTGTGCAACCCACAACCATTATCACGGGATAATTCAAAAAAGATAGATAGAATTCAGTTCAATTAATTTTCCTGCGGCATCTTGTCGAGACAATGCTGTTGTGCAACCCCATAGAAACACATGGACCGAGACGATTCTAGGTCGCCTTAGTCCGTAAGTGAGCAATGGTTAGTAGGATGTGAATTGAACCATCTAGATCCTGTTTAGAACTAGTATGAACCGGGTTCTAGTACGAAGGGTTCCAAAAAGGTAAACAAGGGTCAACTAGGGTGCGAAAAAAATTCAGTACGGCGGTCACTTTGGACCGTAGCTGCAGTTAAGCGGAACAGTTCTCCGATTGTTGTAAAAGTTTTTCACCAATCGGAACAGACAGCACCCTCCGACCCTGGTAGATGCTCGTGGTTCACAGAAAGCACAACTATCTTGTAGTACGAAAGAATAGAGCAGGAGCATCTGGTCTACCTTCTAGGTGACTTCCACTGGTCCTTGGCAGTGCGCCTAATAAGAACAGCTTTTTGAGGAACGTGGGCAATCTATCACACCCAAACATTAACTAGTTAATCCAATTCACGTACCTGATGTCCATCCAGATGTGTTATACTGATATGATAGCCCACCAACGACTGGACCAAGTTGAGTGTGACGTTGGTGTATAGATCATCACCTCGACGCTGAAAGTATCGATGCCTGGAAGGTGGAATGTTGGAAAGTAATGGGAAAATGGGGACAAAGGGGACTATGAGGACAAAGCTGTTCGAGCTTTAGAAATAAGGTTCCCAACAAACGTGTCTCTGAAGCGAACATAACAAACGAAGCAGGGACTCAATAAAGTGCGGATCCTCTGAAAAGGAGAAGGCGCTCTCACGTTCGGAATTCGAGATTGCTCAGTGGCTAAGGCTCGATCGTCCTAACCGAAAGGTCCAAAGTCGCGTTCGATGTTACGACTATGATTAGTGTTGGGGTTTTCACGGTATCTTTCCACAACGCTTGGCTTTGGGGAGGGCTGTTGAATATGTTGCAGCTCTATTTTTTGTCACACAGGCGTTTCCCTGTTTAGGATTCTAGTCCAGCCCCGGGATTTCTGTGTCAGCTTTTCGAATTGTTGAAGGACGCAGAATAGGTTAATATGGATGAGAAGCAGGGTTTACTAGTTTTCACTTCCGTGATTATACCGAGGGTTAGTTGAAGCACAACGGTAGCCATGGCTATGATGAGTTGATGTGTGCACCTCTGATAGGACTTTATGCTGAGGTTTTCGCATCATGCCCACCGGAACATATATCCGAATGTGGTCATTTTTTCCAACAGTGATATTCGAGACCACACTTCGTCTTCGAACAGCTTGCAAGCGGCATCTCAGCTGAGTTTATTTTACCGCGACGAAAATACAAAACCACATTATCAGTCTCATGCCTAAATCTCGTGCCAGTAAGGTAGAGTGTGAAGGGATGTGCAGAAATGGACAGACATGTGGATCACTACGGCTGTCTACCACACAGTGAGAGTACACGTCTATGAGGAATGCACCCATTCAGAGCTGGAAACAAGTGCTAATCATTCAAATTTTATGAAAACTTTACATTCTTATACGGTTGTGCTTAGGTCGGTGTGAATCAGTGTGCCCGCTTGTAACCGTTGGGACAGTTAGGGTTCTCTATTGTAGTTTATTTTATTGCACTTAAGTTGCTGCAAATGAAGTTATACACACACACACACACACAAACACGAGTGAGGTTCATTCCGGTCGGATTGCGTGAACGTTCCCGATTTGTATACAGCTATTTTGAGCTAATGAAATGAGACATCCAGAAATGTCCCACCTCAGTACATAGTTATCAATTGACGGACTGACTGCATGACACATGCTTCCGACGTCGACTGTTGCTGCCCCCTTCAGTCCCACCTATCAACGGGCAAGTAAAATTGGACGAAAAATCCATGCCGCATTGGTCACTCCAGAAGACAGAAATTCCTGGAATGGCAATCGGCGGCGTACTGCACTGAGATTCTAGGTTACGATTCTCACAAGTGATGATCAACTTGTACGCTGAGCTGAGCAATTCGGTCGCAGACGCTTCGCCGCCGATGAATAAGACAAAACCGGGATGCGTATTTGTGCAGCCCTCTTACATCCTACTGGCAACAAGGCAGCTAAGCTCCTAAAGGGTGTTACGGCTGAACGAGTAATTAATTCATTAATATTTTATTGGTACAGTAAACTGGTGATGTGACCTAGTTTGACGGTGAAACATTTGCAACCAAACTGCTCAGCTCAGTGGACAAACCAACCGACCAGCCATTCAATCCGAGCTACCATGATTGTCCTCAACAATTTTTGGCTGAAAGTGAAAAATGAATCTTTAAACCATTTTGGAAAAGCGACCGACCGTAATTCAGTGCCTGTGAAACAGTGTTGCAAAACAAGCAGTTTCAAAAGTCATTCTCGTACAAGTATACAGGCCGAATACGCAGTATGCCAAGAGAATCTAAGCTCATTTGTAAAAGTGAACACTTGTACAGTCTTCAGGTTCATGTTGATATTGCCAATAATTTCCGCGAAAATGATTTTGTTCACATGTTTCAGTGTCATCATGATCACTAATAGCAACATCAACAGAGAATACCGGTTTCTTGGTGCCATACTTTTTCCTGAATAAAGCTTTATAATCGAAAAATGCGACATGGAGGGAGACCCAGGGCTAGCATACCATCTCCGACAACATCGGGAAAGTAGTGAAGAAACCAACTCGCTTGAGGAATAGGGGAGTCGCGAATTAGAAGTGTTCATTATATGGGGATCTTCGCTTCTCAGAGTTTTCTGCAAAGGAAATAGCCCGATCAGTTGACGTTACTTCCATCTAGCTATCTGACGTCCGGTACAAAAACCACCTACATTAGGCTCAAAAAATGGTGTCAGTCGCGTGCGACCGAGAGAGCAGGTCGGTCCACGACATGACAGGAGCGAATGCCGTCTCACTGCTAAACGTCATCGAATTTGGAGTTGAACACTCGTTTGAAGATTGAGTCGGTGTTAACTGGAGACTCGGGTGGGATTCAACTGAATCTCTAGTTCATGATATTCTTTGACCAAATGTAATGCGAAAGGGCCGACCTGTGTTCCGACAGTTACATTTTCAAGATATCAAAGTAATTTCCTTCGACTTGATACAGCATCTAAGACCGATGAAAACTATCCAGCTGCTGGCTGCCGGTTCGGACCTTTCAGGACTTACCATGTAGACGTAGTCTCCGAAGTTACACTGTCTTTATTTATCACTTGGAATCACCGAAAAGGACTTCCATCATACGAACATTCGACGGTGGCATTGGTAACTTCTTTAAATGCCAATACAGGACGTCGTTCCTCTGAAGTTCACCTGTTTACATCAGATCAGAGAAGTGAGCGTCCGAAATTCTGTCCGATCCTGAGAATTCACGAAATCAGCCCAACAACCATGGGGGTTTGTCGAGGCTGCAAAGGATGTCGAAGTCATGCCTGTCAACATCCTGACTAGTGGCAGCTCCAGCCGGTTCGCAAACCATTGATACGAAGATTTCGATACACAGTTAGATGCTGGTTTTAAAGTGTCTCACAAACAACGATAAGGATGATGACGGTGAACTACTCCATTTCCTGTACTACGAGCAAGCAAACGCTTTCTGAAAGCGTAGTTGTTGGTTACTTGAGACGAGGTTTCTTCGCTTTTTAACAGTAGAATATAAATTTGAAGTAGAAGTGGATGGACGTTGTCGTTACAATAAAGGACCGTGGTCCTGTACTGAAGTGTCGCCAAACACAAATATGGGAGTAACAGTTCGGCGCTATTCAACAATTCAAGGGTAGTCCACAGTGGAGTACAAATTCATCCACGGCTTAGATTGGCACTCTCTAAAGGCAGCTCGAATATATTCTTTGCCAATGATGTTATCTCCTGCGTGAGTTGACATAATTAAAAAACCAAGCTGTTTTGTCAGATATGAGAAACTGACTAATGAGCCTGAAAACAGATATTTATCAACCCGTACGGAGCAACAACCCTGATAGGAAAATCAATACAAGAGGATGTCCAGTTGCTTCATCAACCGTTGCCCAATGATATCATTGACATCTAACAAAATTCAGAGAGATCTAAGGATCACGTTTTTGTTTCAGTGGACAGCGTTTGGCCGGGGCTAAGCCGGAGATGGCACTTTAACTCTTGCGGAGAATTAGAAGCCTGCTCTTGTTAATCAGACAACAAGTGCAGGGTCACTTGATGGAGGTTGACTCGCATTGATCATGCTTTCGTCAAACTTCAATTAGCTCAGAAAGCCTGGATAGAATAGTATCACTAATGTTGTGCAATTTGGGTTCAAGTGGAACACGACGTTGACGGAAACTCGTAGACAGCGCCTACCTGATGAGTCGAAACAAGGGCGAAATCCGTCGTGGACTGTCGAGGAATTTTCGGCAACCTTATGAGTAGTGCATTACGTCTATACAATGTATCGCGATATCTCGAATATCGTGCCAACTAAAACATGAGCCGGCCTGGTGCAGAACAGTTGGTTGTTTAAAAGACCACGGACGAGAAATTCAGCTGGGCTCCAGGTTAGTCTCCCATCAAAACCAAAATGGTATGCGAATGAGTGTATTTCGTCTATTTGGCAGGCTGACTAATGGCGTTCTCAATCGGATACACTCTAAATGAATGGTTTTAATGAGTAGGCAATCTTGGATGGAGATTAGAACAAAACACCATGACCAGAGCACATCTAGAGAACGTCTAGCAAACTACTACCCGGCAAATTATCACATTTGGAACACTCCCGTCCGTTCGGACAATTCACAATAAGTTCAAATCAATGAACGAGTAAGTGCGGCTTACTTTTGTTGTCGAACCCGGAACTTTAAGTCCCCCGGTTCACCATCCATATGTGGTTCACCTTCAGATACAAAGGGGTACAGCTGCCCGTCTCGCATTCCGGCTTCGATTTCAAGCTCCAGGTGACGTTCCTCTTGATAAAATCTGTTTACGCAAAGAACAGCGGGTAGAACGAGTCAGGGAATTCGGAAAAACAAGCTTTTATATGACTGCAGCCAATACGACTCACGGCACTCTCATAGGAGCGGACTACAGAGCAGTGAGGAGGCATTCAGCTATTCCTATATAATATAATCGCGAAAGCTCCTGCAGCATTCTATTCTGAGGAAACAGGATGTTGAAGTGCACGGCCGTGGAGAGAGACGAATCCATGTGCTATTGAGGGCCGAATATCATACTAATGGCCTTATACCTCACCGTCATCAGCTGGATGATATGAGCTGAGTATTTGAACGATGTGGGTTCACGCGCACAGGATAACAGACAATACACCCGCACATACTGTTACGGTACGACCTTACGGAGAAGGGAATCGGACTTTATGGTACATGTTTTCCGTTTTCAATACCATACAAACAAGATCGGTCTCGATCTGTTGTTCGTCCCCGAAAACTATTCTATCCCGGACCTTTCGGCAAAGTCTGTATTTCATTGCGGTAGGATCAATCTTATGTATGAACAAAATGACACGGAAGGCCGTCGATAACAAAACGGTACTGAAACACATGGACCTCAGTCGAATGGAGCTACCAAAGATTAGGTACAAACGGAACGTAGCGATGTATTTTTGGATAATTGCCTCAAAGAGCGGCGACGTCTTTTGAGTCAGACAACATAAATCGCGCTACCAAAGCCACTCACACGCTTCCTGTTGCAAATCGTCCTGGCGAATTCCAGGGAGACGAAATTCCGAATGTCTGAACGGTTGCGAAGAATTTATCCCGTAATTTATACGTCAAGGTTGACTGAAATTTGGCGATGGCGAATTCACTGACCGGAAGGTCCGTGGTTCGAACCTGATCTAGGCATCTCGACTTATCCAGTCTAGACTTGGGCAACTTGACAGTATCCCAGCCCTCGTGCCTCCTTCCGTTGGCATGGCAGCCAGGCATCGGAAGGGTGTTACAGATGAACGACTTTTTTCTACTGAAATTCACTGGCCAATTCCATTACAAATATAAACAAACAATCGTTACAGAACGGCTAAATCACAGTGCAAAGTTGAAAAGGACTCACTCAACATTTGGACAGTCGTCACAAACTTCAACCTGATGCATCTGGAATTGGCCAGGTCCGAGCATGGTGGTGCGCATTTCCCTACGACAACGACATTTGCGTGTCCCCTTGGTATTTTTCTTGTCCAACTTGACACGTGAGATTTCGACAAAGTCACCGACATAAAGTTCCTCCAGAGTGACCCAAAGGTCAACAACCAAATCGTCTCCCCGTGCGACCTCCTCAGAGCCTCCACGACCACCTCCGAAGTCAAATCCAAAACCAAAGAAGCTGGCGAATGGATCATGGTGCGGAGCACCGCTTCCATGGCGTTTCAAACCTTCTTTGCCATACTGATCATAGATTTTCCGCTTCTCAGGATCCGACAAGACCTTAAAGTGCAAAAAGAGAGTGACCAAAGGCATTGGAGGACGGATAACACTCCATTACAGAACAACACATCGCACGCAGGTTCCAAACTAGTGCTGTCGGCAACGTGGCAAACTGAGTAGGTAAGTGTTAGAAAACATCAGTGTCGACACTACACAGACAGACGGCTTTATCGAAAGTCGGTGGTACAAAAGCATGTCGAATGACTTCCGCATGATAGATGAACTCACATAATAGGGGTGCGCCTGGCTAAGATTGACTTGCAGTTGTTTGTACTCAGGCGTGTACAAAGGGGAAACTGTATAAGGAAGATAAGATCCCGACTTGAGGTTAAAAAATAAATAAAATAATCGTTCAGTTGTGACACCCTTCCAGTGCCTAGCTGTCATGCAAGAGGACTGAGATGCTGCCAGGTTGCCCAAGTGTAGACAAGAACAGTCGAGATGCTGCGGCTAGGTTCGAATCATGGACCTTGAGCTCAGTAGGTTGGCGTCTTAACCAGCGAGTTATTTCGAGCTCCAAGTTACAAGTCACCAACTCCGTTGTGTTGGCAAGATCCATGA